GAGCACAAAAAATCGGCAAAGTTGCCGATTTGCAAATGGGGGGATTTGAACCGCCGGTTGGAAATACAGCAAATCGGCGCGGCGAATATTTCATGGTCAAAACGATTTTATTATTTTTTTGTAATATTTTTCCCTGAAAGATCAGGACCTAACTGAGCGACCCTCAAATTTGCAGACATTTTGATGAATTCTTCTGATCACAAAAAATTGGCAAAGTTGCCGCTTGCAAATGGCGGGATTGGACCCGCCGGTGACGAACTTTCGCCGCCCCTCCGTACAGGCCAGCTACTGTTCAGACACACAGGCACACTGTGCAACCCCGGTTCACACACACAGGCACATTCTGACGTGCCAGTTGCCTGACGTCGGATACACTTCAAAACAAAACAGTCCCCAAAAGCAGACAGGGACCCAATCTGCCTGAGCAGTTATCTCAGTGGGCAGTTGGGTATTTCAAAATCTGTGTGTGAGTTCGAACCCCAACCCGACCACAACCGCTCCAAGCAAGCTTCAAAACTAACATATATATTAGTGTGGGTGTGGATGGGTGTGTGCGGTGGGGTGGGGTGCGGGTGCGTGTGTGGTGTGTGTGGGGTGGGGGTGGGGTGGAATCGGGTGCTTCCCCGACTGCGGCTGTCTGCCTCTCCTTTTTCCTTCTCTTCCCGCCCAAAACTGAAAAGAAACCGCTAAAAAAAAAAAAAGGGAAACTCCGAGTTGGAAACTGAAAAACAAAAATGCAAAGAAAAAATAAATAAAAACGCAGTTACGAAAACCAAACAAAATAAAAAACCCAGTTTGCAAATTAAACCAAAAAAAAAGGGGGCGTCCTTCCTATCCGACGGCGGGCGCTTCCAGATATACCCTTTCATCGACGCTCGGCCCCGTAGGCACGCTCCTTCGTTTCTTGGCGCGCTGTGAACAATTCGGTATGAGCGCCGCTCTGCGGGCTCCCCCTCCCTCAATCGCCTTCATCCGCCGGCGCGAATGAAAACTTCGGCCCAATTCCGGCGCGCAGCGGAACACGACCTCCCCCCGCGGGCCGCTCGCGCTTAAGGGGTAGGATATATATATATATTTTACAGGATTATCCGGTGCCCTTCTTCCGGCCAGAAAAAACGGATAATCCAAGGGCATCAGGATATATATATATATACGGCCAGAAAAACCGGATAATCGAAGGGCATCAGGATATATATATATATATATATATATATATATATATATATATATATATATATATATATATATATATATATATATATATATATATATATATATAT